CTAAACTGACTTTGCAGTTGCTTTGCACGTTGCATTTGATTCCTTGTGGAGTCAGAGGGATTCATTTTTAATTATAGAATAACTCGCCATTTTTACATGACTTTGGAGTTGTTTTCTAATAGTGTGTTTGAATACGTGGTCTCAAAGGGGTTCATTTGTAGCACTGGGCTGGCATTGTACCTTTAATTTCTTTCATTATCTACCAGCATTCCCTGGATTCCCGGGTAGTTAATGCTCACTTGAGGTTCCTGACAGTCATATTACACTGTATTTCCATTTTCCTCACCCATGTAATCTTCTCTGTGGATATGAATAGGTAAAACAGATCAGCCCCAGACGCTGGAGACCGAACACGCTGCTTGGGCTTTCTCCAGGGACAGAAAGGAAAGCAGTGGTTTCCTGCACCACACTGAGCCCTCTGGTTAGAGAAAATGGGATGCCTTGTGTTCTAAGAGTTTCAGGCTCGTGAAAGACTGCTGATATCACACCTCACTGCCCTTTGCTCCCTCTCCCCATCAAATATCTGTGCTTTAGCTCACCTCTAACCACAAATCTCACTTTTGATCTTCGCAGGTTCATCCTCCAGTTTGGAAGCTTTTCGTACTGAGTCCCCCCATCCTTCCTGTTGTCTTGCCCCTCTCTCCCATGCTGTTTCTGCCAGGCTTACCCTTTTTTTAGGAACATTTGGAGGTCTCTGTTTGCAGCGGTGCCGCCATTTCCCTTATGGACTCTCTGCCATCCTTCCCTTCTCTGCCCCATCTCTGTTTTTAGGCCCTCCCTGTGGCTCTAAAGCTTCTCCTAATCTGTTAGGATCCTGCTGGGTTCCTTTTTGTTGTCCTTTGTCTTTCCCCACCATGCTGCAGGGCTGCTCACCTGCTCCCTCCATCTCCTCCCGGGGGCTTGCAGGGGCGGCCTCACCTTCCTGCACCAGTCCATGGGTGGTGACGGCTTTGGATCAAAGCTGGAACTCTCCTTCCTGCCAGATGAAACTCTTGGCGTTTTGTGGCAACAAACTTGTGGTTTCTCTGGCCACAATTTAATGTTTGTACATCGATTGCTGGGGTGCTTCCTCCAAGCTATGTTGTGGCAATACAATAGGTAGACAAATGCTATTAATTATGCCAACATACAGAAATACACTGATAGAAAGTAGATCATGTCATGCTACACTGACACACTTGCTGTTACGAAACTCAAAAAGTAATTTCTTAGGTCTTTAGTGTTGAAGAGAATCAGCCTTGGAGTTAAATGTCCCTGTTATTGATGAGGCTGCAAAACGTGCACATGAAAGAGTGAAAGGCTGACTCGATCCTTAAAACATGATTTTTAGTTTGCTAGTTTCCCCAGATTTGAGGATATTGGAGACTGGGTTTACTAGCTGCATCCCTGTGCTTCTACTCTTGGACATTAATACCAGGTCCTGATGGACTCTCACTGAGTGTCCACTGTGTATCTGAAATTCTATGGTAGTTTAATCTTGCTAAACTTTTAGATATCCTCTAAATAAATGAAGGATAATCAGCAGAAATAATGAAAAAATTCATCACTTTAAAATAGTAAAGACAAACCCCTTATTTTTTTGCGTCTCTCATTCTTCTATATAAAGAAAAAGAAACATACTCTTCATTCTCTTTCTTTCATTGGCAAATGGAAGCTGTGCATCCAGGCTGCTTTATCCCACAGTACATCTTGTGACTACAATGAGATCTTAATTACAGAGATGTCAGTGCAGCACCTGGCACTCTGTTGTGCTGTGGGCAGGGCCGGGCTCTGTGAGGTTTGGGGAGGTCCCACGGGCACATGGAATGCTGCCATCCTGCTTGTCATGTGTTCCTGGAGCTGGAGAACAAATCCACGCCACACTGAGCAAAGCCAGGTCATGGTATTCATCTTTATTTGTGATTCACGGTTTGTCACTCGGTGCCAGGGAGAGCCAGGAAGAGGCACGTGTGTCTCTTGTACTTATGTCCCACGGTTCTGCTCTTCTATGAAGGTGCTACATTGATAATGAGCTGCTGTAGGAGTCAATGGGAACAATTTGGGAACAATTAGTGTCATGTTCTCACAGGAGCTAAGGCAAAACCCCTGGGGATATCACAGTGCAGCAGATGGCATTGGGCTGGGGTGTGAGTGAGTGTCCTGGCTCCGGGGCACCTCACATTTGCACATTGCAGATGGATTTGGAATAGAATGGAGCAAAAGAATAGAATATTTTCAGTTATAAGGAACCTACAGGGGTCATCTAGTCTCGGTGTCTGATGCTTCAGGGCTGTCCAAAAGCCAAAACACACTGTTAAGGTCATTGTCCAAACGCCTCCTGAACACTGACAGGACTGGGGCACAACCATGTCTCCAGGAGGCCTGTTCTAGGGTTTGGACACCCTCTCAGTAAAGACATGCTTCCTAAAGCATCCCAGGTTTTCATGTTCCTCTCCCACTCTCGTGAGTTCCTCCAGTTAGTCCTCCAGCCAAATCCATTTCTGTACCTCCAGATTGTGGCTGTCAGAGCCGTGCCATGTGAAGTCACAGCAGCGGGTAAGCAGGGCCTGTGAACGGGCAACAGCTGCCACCTCCTGCTCGCTGCCACAAAAGCCTCCACTGGCATCTGTGACTCAGGCCCGTACCAGTCACCCCCAAATCATCAGCGCTTCTGGCTGCGGGTGAGCGACAGCTTTCTCCTGTCAGCTCGGAGTGGAGCCTCTGGAGCACATGCAACTGTTCCAGGCAGGTTCAGGATTTCTATTTTAGGGATAATCACATATTCTGTAGTGATAAGTTGTCATTTTTAGAAATCCAGTGTGCTGTGCACAAAAAGCAACACACTGCTACTATGATTTTCTTCCTCAAATGTTGAGGTTTGCTTTTTCTTTAACAGGATCATGGAATCATAGAATTGCTCACTTACAAGGAGTTGTCAGATTGCTGACTGAATCCTGCAGAAAATACTGGAACTGGAAAACCAGTCAGTGCCTGTTTACTAACATCATCTGAACTTCCCATCAGCAGAACTGTGTATTAATTTATTAAAAGTGACATCTCTGCTGACAGGTTCAAGGGCCTGGTGAATATTCATATCTAGGTTTGTTTCCTGCTTGCTGACTTGAGCAGGCTTCCCAGAGCGGTTGTAGTCATGGATACATGGAAATGACACTTTGGGGTTTGTTTTCTCAGTGGCAATGCTTTTATACACAATATTCCAAACACTATAATAAAGAATTGTCAAAAGCTATCCTGGAGCGATGGCAGATCATGAGCACTTGCATGTGGTTTAATTGCCAAGGAAAGGCTGCCCTTCAAAGGAGCTCCTTGTAGCTGGGTGTCCTCTTGGAGTGCTTCTTAGAGACAGAAGGTCAATCAATGGATTTGATTGCACGTGGAAAACATTTGATCTGTTACCCCAAATGCTTCAGCCAGAAGATTTCAAACAGAATATTTACGAAGAAGCTGTAGCTGCAGTTTTGCATCGCTCACTGCAGCCCCTCTAACAGGGGTGGAAGGAAAATCCTCAGTAAACAACTGCTTAAATAAAAAGCTCCAAGGAGAAGGGAGGTAATGAGGAGCTCACACAGCACCCGTGCAGCTGAGCCTTTCCTCCAGAGCCATGGGAGGCCATCAGAAGGATGGGGAGGGGGTACAGGTGTCCCCATGGGGTTTTTCATGGAGACTCCTGGAGCAGTCTGTGGGAGATCAATAGAATCATTAAGGTTGGAAAAGACCTCCAAGGTCATTGAGTCCAACCTTTGACGGATCACCACAATGTCAACTAAGCCAACTAAAAATGCACCAATTGGTGGTGTATCTAACCTTCAGCGTCGCTGGTGGAGCGAGGTGGGAGTGTGGGGAGATAAGGAGTAGGAGCTGGCCCAGATTCTGTTTTCAATTTCATTTGGCGAAGTTTTCTGAGCTCTCCTGTAGAAAATGTCCCACGAAAGCGACAATAACAATATTTTGGATATAAGCCTAGCACAAAAGGGTAATAGGAACTCCATGGGCATGCGTGGGCTCTTGATTCATCCTCAGAGATGGCAGATGTGCATTTATTTGAGATCTGGGAGTGGGACTGGTAATATTTATAGTGAATGCTTTGCTCCCACTCTTCCTGTGTGATTTTGGTCTCCACCGTTGGTCAAACACGGGGTCAGTGCTCACTGTTGACCATCTCGTGCATCATTCGCACTGAAAATCCCCAAGCCCATGCCAAGCACTTCTCTTTCTCCAGAAAACTGGCATGGAATGCTGAGGGCCCCCTGCAGGGTCGAGGTCTCATGGTGCACTGTCAAGGGCTGACAGAGGAACCAGAGATGGTTCAGCTCAGTCCACCAGCGAGCTCCTCCATACTTCGTCTTCTTTATTTAAAATTGATACTAAATTAGATGACAGCAGTACTTTAGTATAAAAATAATTTTGTTTGCAGCAGCTGCCGATCGAGGCAGTGGGGAGGTGTTACAGCTGCACGGTCCTTTCTTGTCATTGCTTCTCACCCTGGCTCTGGAAAAAAGAATGGATCTCGTCCAGATGGGCTTGCACATGAAGGGAGTGGAAGGCCATCCCTGTCCTCCAAATGCTGCCCTTGGGCAGCACCACCAGCAGGCCACCCTGGTGTTCAGCTGTGTTGAACGTGCATGGGTGTCTCAGCGCAGTCGTGTGGAGTGGAGCAGTGTCCTGTGTGGGGTGTGGGGCAGGGGCTCGTTGTGCTCCCTGCTCTGCCACGCTCAGAGTTTGCCCATGAGCTCTGAGACCCCTCCTTTATCCACACAGGTCCAAGCTGTATTTTAACTTGTGCTAAACCACTAATATAATAACCTCACTGAACCCTCTGCCAGCTCCCTCAAGCAGGTGAAGAGAGACTTGACCAAACAACTGCTGTCCGGCAGCTTCCCCAGAGGCAGAGACTTTAAAAGCTTAGCCAGTGCTCTTAGTTGTCTCCCTGTCTTCTTTTAAATGCAAGATCACTGCAGTAAGCATTTACAAATTTAAATTCTTTTTTCTTTACCTTGTAGTGAACTTTGACCACTTCCAGATTCTCCGGGCGATTGGGAAGGGAAGCTTTGGCAAGGTAGGCCTGAGCGCTCGGTCTTGTGGGGTTTATCAGGTGTCTGCTGTTATGTACTTATGGGTTATTGAAACAATAACAGGACTGAGATAGGCTATTTTTTTATATTTTTTATGATGGCTTCTCAGTCAACATAGGAAAAATGTTCAGTAAAATACCTTGCTGCCATTTGGCGTTGCTTTATTTCTTGGCATCTTGGTGAAACAGTTATGTTTTAAACCACCAGCACAATTGTGACCATTTCACAGCAAACATTCATTACAGTTTGTTTCCTGTGGGGGTGTCTGGATTGTGAGGGGGGCAGTTAGTCAGGAAGGTGCTGGAAGTTGTCCTGGGTGATGGACTGAGCTGGCACACTGTGGTCAAAGGGGTTCTCTGAAGTCCTGGGCTGTTTTCCCAGACAGAAATGAGTTATGCTGAAGAGGTTTTATTGTTTATTTTTACCAAGTTTTTTTTTTGCCAAGCATGTGGGAAGAGGTGGGAGGTGATGATCAAAAAGCTGGATAGCTCTGGAAATCAGTTACTGGTTGGTTTCCTAGTGTTAGTCCTTCTTCATTCCCTTTTTCACTGACTCTCACTTGGTGCCTGTGTAGGTGACTTTGCTGTGTCTCTCATGGCATTTCCACCCTGAGTTTGCACTGCCAGCACAACGTTCACTCTGTGTGTGCACATCAAGGCTTCATTGTGCTCGTTTTATCCCGTGTTTTACTGTGACCCAGCAGTGGTTGTGTCCCTCTGTAGCTGACTCACCTGTGCCAAATGGACAGGAGCTGTGGGAGCATCAGCCCCAGTGATGATCCCTGAACTCACTGAATTGGGTTGTCACCCTCTCAGGGGGTGGTTGTGTGGTGCAGGGCTTGTGTGCAGGACCGGGGCTTCAGGCAGGGAAATGGCCTTGGAAATGGTGTGAAATGTGTGATATCAAACCTGTGGAATAGCCCAGCCCCGCTCAGACAGTAACATAAGTGTCCCCAGACACTGGTAAGAGAAACTGAGGACAAGCTGAGCCGTCAGGGAAAGCTGTACCTGCTCATGCTTCCTGCTGGTTGCGTCATTTGGCCGATTTCTCCAATTGTGTTTTGTTCAAAAGCTGATCTCATGAGGGTGAGAAAATCTGAACCTGGCTCTGGAGGTGACCTGCCCTGTCCTTTGCCTTCTCCCTCTGCCCGGTACAACCTGACAAGGCAGCGTCCCACCAGGCCATGGCCTCAGGAGCAGCCTGACCTGCTGTACTTGGATGGCTGGAAACTGGAGACTTTGCAAAGGCGGAAACTTCTCAGCACATCTGAGACCTGTTTGGCCAGAAAAGCCCAAACTTTTACTGATTACTGGAAATCTCTTTGAAAATACTTAAAATGTATGAAGTAGTGTCAGTGTTGAGTAACAGCAGCAGCACAAAACCCAGCCACAGTCTGGGTGGGTAGAGACCAGCTTTTCTGAGAGTCAGGAGCGAGGACAGTGTTAGTCACAGCTCTGCCATTAGTGCTGCTTGCTAACGAAGCCATTTCGTTACAGCCTCAGCGAACTGACGAACACTGAGGTATCTATTACCCTGCTTTGGCACAATCCACCCCCGTGAATTCCTGCTGGGCTGCGATGTGAGCCCGCATGGGACTTCCAGGGCTAATGGAAATGGATTGCCAGCAGTGTGTAAGGCACTGAGGGGGTGGTTTGAAATAGTCACCCGTGTTTGCAGCCATGTCCCTTAAGCAGGGAGAGGCAAAAGCTGCCAGCAGAGCTCTGTCAGATTTCTGAACTTCTGTTAAATGATGGTGAATGATTAAATACCAGCTCAGATCCTTCCATGGGGCAGCACTATGAGGATAAGGCAAAGAGCAGAGGAAAGTCTCCCCAGATACTCCTGGTGAGAACAGGAACTCTCTGTGTGAGACCGAGTGACCAAACACTAACTCAAAATCTCAAAAAGAGGAGATCACTTTTTTTTTTTTTTCCCTCCAAGCTGATATGAGAAAACTCATATTTCCAAAAATAGTTGTCCAGAGAAGAAAGTTTTATTCTTTTGAGCAGAACCACTTGGAAAATTAATTCTGCTGAGAACGTGAAACGGAGAAAAAAAAAAAATTCTTGTCCCAGGGCAGGATAAGAAGACTTTGAAGAGAGCTGCTCCCCAAGGCTGCTCCTCGTGGCTGCTCACTCCTCTGTTTATGTTGCAGAAAGGTTAAGTCTAGCACATAGCAGTCTATCAGGCATCAGAACTGTATATACACTTTCAACAAAATGCTGAAATGATTCATCTGTCATCTTTCTGGATAATTATGTCAATATGCTGAATTTCCTCTGACACTGAGAAAAGCTTTTTGCATTTACTAAGTCATTTACAACTCGCATTTAATTACAGAAAATATAGAACTACCTACCTGGAAATTTAGGAGCGATTAAGTTGCTTTGGTTGATTTAACCACTCTCTGCCCCCATTCAGGAAGATATTTAGGAGCCAGTGTCCCATCCATCTCCAAGTGGGGGTGTAGACCCTCAATGTGCATGAATGACCTGTGGAATCTGACGCTGTGTGATCCCGTGGTGAGGGGACCCGGGACCAGCACCCGTGGGGGCTTTGGGCACAGCATTTCCTTCACACTCACCTTGTGCACCCCTCAGGACAGACTGTGTGGTTGTTGGTGCAGGAACTGTAGGAAAGAAAGGAGAAAGGAAGTCAGAAATCCATTTTGAAGAGCCTGAGAGACCCTGAGCTGTGGCTCTGGTGTATCTGCAGTAAATGGCCAATCTTTGTTTGCTAGAGATGGGTTTAATCAGCTTTAAGATACCATTAATCAAATCAAGGTCATGTTCAATTCCATGTTTACTCCAATTAGCAAACGTGTAATATTTTCCACACATATTAGAGGTGATATGATTTTATTTTTAGTAATTTTGTAGCAGCATGGTGTTCCTCCTGTAGCACAGCCTCCTTTCCAAGCAGCAGCAGTTGCTCAGGTTTTGGCTGCTCTGGTGCCATTTGCCAAGTAGCAGCAGGTCTGGGTTTCCAGGGCGGGGTGCAGTTTGTGACCCTGTTTTAATGAGAAACATACTCTCAGGTTCTTTGTGCTTCACCAAAGACGTGATGAGACCCAGGAATCTCTAAAGGCGTTGGTGGTGTTGCAGTGCCCTGATATCTCCCTAAGTAAAAACTGGCATCTCCTGGCTTCAGTCCCCATCCATTTGAACCATGAGGGAGCTGAGGGTGTTCACTCCTGAACTCTTCCTCCTACCCGAGCTTCCCTCTCGATTCTCCAGCAGATAAGCCCCAGCTGCCTTTTCCAAGGGATAAAGAGCTGGATGGGGTTGTGGGAATTCATTATTTCCACTTCGCTGCTGTGAAGAAATAAGAACACATCTGAAGTTTTTCAGCACTGATTTATGTCTTTGTGTGCCTTCGGAAATAGGGGATTAAACCTGGGATGGGGATGGAATGAGCAGCAGCAGCAGCAGGAAATGGAATTTTCCGGGGGAACCATATGCCTGGGATGGGTACCAGTGGCCCATAGGGGCTGGAGGCCTGGCTTTTGGTTTTCTCTGGAGCAGGCTGGGTGTCCTTGCTCCTTGTGCCCAGCTCTGCATGGACCCTCCCAAGGAAGGCTGGCTGTGCTGTGGGTTGCATTGTGCAGGTACTTCAACTTCATGACTTTGTTGTTTTAATAATTCACACAGCCCAGAGCTGGGTATGGAAAGGCTTTAATCCATTTTCTAAAGGTCACAAATGCCCACCCAGTAGCTGCATCATAAATAAAATTCCCTTCAAGTCTATTCTCAACTGAATCCCTGTTTGACATCAACACAAGCTTGATCCATTTTTTTTTTTTCTCCAGCTTTATAAATGTTGAATTTTTCCCCCAAAAGAAAGACTGGAAATTTAATCCCTTGGTATTAAACTGCCACAGATATTTTTTTTTTGCCCTTGATTTTTCCTTTGCTGTCCTGGAGCTCACACGAGGCTGAGGGTTTGCCAGAGCTGCGGGCAGGGACTGGGGACACACGTCCCTGCTGGACATTGTCCCTGTCACTCGACCGCATGCCATGTCATCAGGAGGCTCCAGAGGCGAGGATGCCTTGGCTTTGTCAAAGGGCAGCACGGCTGCTGGGAGGGGACAGCCAGGTGAGGGGTGTCTGTGGGTCCTGGGGTGCTGGAGAGCATCTGGTGCTTGACCATTCAGTGCTGGTCAGGCACTGTCCTGCTCGGCCCCTGAGGCTGCACAGGGACGTGTGAGAGAGCACAGAGCACACAGAGGGAGATCCTCCCTCTGATACTCCCAGGTAATAATACCAAGTGTTTTTTGTTCTTGGATGTTACCAAGCTGAGTGTGTCCATCGGTAAAAGCCACAGGAGAGAGAATGGCAGAGCGTGGAAAGCTGCAGTGGCAATGGGGTCCAGCACCACCTCGGTGTCTTGGGTTGTGGAGGCAGCAGCAGGAAAATTACAATGGAAAGTGCCACTGAATTGTCTGGAGAGACACAGTGATCTGAAAGGAGCCTGGGACGCGATCCTGCATGTCCCCACTGAGGACCTGTTTGTGGTTTCTGAAGGATCAGACTTCATAAGAGACTGATTTATCGTACAAGCTGCCCACTTTTGTTATTATTATACACCCGGTGCCTTATTAACATTTGCATTAGAAACTGCCTGGGGTTTGTTTCAGCCCCCATCATTCCCTGTGGATGAGTCACACTGGCGTGGGACAGGAGGTGGGATGGGAGGTGGGATGGACCCTTGTGCCAGCAGCGGGGGGCCTGTGGACAGGAAAGAGGGGTAGGAGAGTGGAGGGCAGAAATATCATCCTCCACCTGAAAACCCACTGATAGTCCTGGGCCACCCCTGCAGGTCTCTGTGCAGGGGCTGGCACTGCCAGAAGCAGGACAGGTGGAGCATGGCCAGAGTGCTTGGGGCAGGTGGGGAAGAGGTGATTGGTGGCCCTGTGGTACCTGGCTTTGCCCGTGGCACATGCAGTGGTGCCTGGCTTTGCTTGTGGCACACTGGCTGGCGTTCC